TGGAAAATGGTAAATATTATACCTCAGCCACTTTTTGGAGCATGAAAGAAAAAAAATGATGTTTGTACTCTCTATCAAATACAATTTTTTGTGGAAGTTTATTTCATCGATTAAACACATTAAACATGAGAGACAAACAAAATGAAAACTGATGTGTTCAAGTGTTCAATTGACGCTTGACTTATCCATAATAGTATAGAAACAAACGGAATGTGTTCAACTGACGCTTGACTTATCCATAAAAGTATATGAATAAACGGAATGAGTTCATTTAATTTTTGACTAATTCACGATGATCTTATATGAATAAAGGGAATGCGTTCAATTGACGTTTGAAAAATCCTTAATTAGTATATGAATAAACACAATGTGTTCAATGAACTCTTTACTAATCCATGATTAGCATACGAATAAACGGAATGTAGAATATACTTCAAAGAGATATCAAATCAAGAACAAAAGAACAAAAAACGCCATGTTTACAAAGTACAGGTACGGTCATCTATGCAAGTATCAAACTCTAAATTGTCTCTAATGTAAATGTGGTAGAGTGTTTTACATTAATATTTATTTTCTTTCAGAATAATTAATATTAATAAGTAGTTTTATTATACTGTTAAAGTACTTTTATTCGTGGGGTACCAATTTTCGTGGTTTTCGTGGATGGCTTTATCCACGAATTTAACTGTCCAACGAAATATAATAACTGTTGTCCAATTCCAGACACGGAAAGATCCCCATGTAGGTTTGATTACATGGATACGCGGTCATATAAACCAACGTACTATGAACTAAATATACATTTTTTTTGTACAACTTCAGACCGGATTTTACCCATTTAATCTTTAAAAAATCTAAAATGTTCGACTGTTAACATTTTATTTCTCATGAGAAATAATTTTTGATCGATGAAAGTCAGATTTCCGGTGATGATATGCGATAATGAAATGTTCCTTTTTTCATAATTCTCATACGGAAAAAGAATACTGATTTCATTTTGGGCTTGCTTTTTTATGTCATAATAATTGATTCTACAATTCAAAATATTATGAATTTGTTAGTTATGAAGGACGAACAAGTGAGTGAAAATAAACACCTTATTTAACAATGCCCCACAAATCATTATAAAACAACATATGATTAATATCACGAATATTCGATTCTGAAGTCTTCAAATTCGTCATTCGATTTTTTTCTTCAGAAAACTAAAATCCACGAATTTAAGAACCCACGAACATGTAACTTTTGCTGAAACCACGAAAATTGATACCCACGAATAATAATACTTTCACAGTATGTATTTTAAGAGTTCATCAATACTTCTATTCTCTTATGCATTCATATTTTCTTGGTATGTTATATCTTCTTAGTACTGTAGTTCTACTCTATTTTTCTGGTTCATTAGTCAGTCAGTCATGTGTCATATTAACTTGTCTTCTATTGGTTATAGTCATTGAGTTAAAAGTTTTACCACACTTTTTGAATACCTTGAGAGAAAGTTATACAATACAGCAGCCATATTTAAATAAGTTATATACATTATATTCTGGATACTAATTTCACATTAATCAGGTCAGTTACTAATATTTCTAAGTCTCTAATATTTGCACAGTTTTCCTTTAGTTTGAATCTGAGAGAAAATGTATTTTGAATAAGTCAGCGTGATTGTGCATGAATGATAGATCTTTTATTTTAAAGAAGTATTTTCATGAACTCAGAGAAATAATATATCATATATATATTAATGATACATGTATTGGTACAGTTATATTATTATTATAAAAGGTCTAAATGAATGTCTATTGAACATATACTTATTGTTTATAAATGCTATGCAGATATGATTTAGTTCATTAGACTTATGTAAGTTATATTTATATTTTTAACAGGACCAGAATATTTTGATGTTATCATGATCTGGTGATGTTTCCAAATAGGAGATAGACCTTTGTACCATATACATGCAAAGATCAGTGTTTTCAATGTATTTTTAGTTTACTGTATTGTCCGTGTTTGTCAATTTAATTTAAGTTCAGTAAAAGTATTGTTTGATGTGTATTGTGAATAGTAGTTACCTGTTTGTCAATCATTACTGGCATGTAAACATTATAATATCAAATAGTTCATTCATAAATCAATGAATGATTAACGTAAGATTATTGGACATAATGTAGCACTTAATCCTGACTTGGTTTACAATTGAGTTTGATTGAATTTATATATTTATAACGTATACACTTTAATAGTATTGGTTGTATTCTTATAGAAAAGAGCCAGTTTATCGTATTTTATACATGTACTTTCCGTTATAAGAATTATAGTTATATCCCTTTGTACACCGTATTGTCTATGTATTTATGTTTTGTTATTTGTGTACTTTCAGGGTTATTTATTTATGTCGTATAAATAAACATCTTTAAACTTGACGAATCCTTTTATTCCGTCCAAGAACCCTGTTACATAAAAACATAATGAAAAAATTAGTAGGAAGCTATCAGGTGCTGTTATCAATACTAAATTCCTAATTGTCAAAACATTTGGATAAAACAAAAGACAACTATTGATAAAGTCCAGTGTCCATGACTTTGGACAGACACATGGACATGTGACTGGGTTAAACTGTTTATGTTTTTTATGTCTCAAAGTTATCCACAAGGTCTGAGGAAAGACAAAATGTACATACAATAACCTGCAATAAAATCAGTACAGGAACACTAAACTCTATAATACCAGACAAATAGACAACAAAGCACAACTAAATGTGCAACTAAACAATAATGAAATGCTGAATAATAGAATGCTCACTGGTACTGAAAGTAAGATCAAATACTTAATTTGCTGATATGACGCGTCAAACTGTGACAAATTGAGAAAAAATGCATGTTTCGACTGATTTTAATCATTGGCTTAAAAACGAGTTCATGGACCCATCTTTTTTTAAAATGAAATTTAGCTTGATTAGGTATGAAGATTATTTGTATCAATTGTTATGAACAAATTACCGGTGATTTTTTTTTTAAATAAATATACAGCAAAAAAGCCGTTTTTTTTCTAAAATAATGAGAATTATATAAAAATGAATTATTCGAAAAGAATTGTTTCATAAACTTAGAACATATTTATGTTAAGAAAACATTCCAAATATATTTACAAAATCCGCGTGTGTTTATCTTTTTAAACAAAAAAGCTAGGTATGTCTGTCATGAGGATCTAACTATAAAAAAAACGAAATTTTTAGTTAATTTATAAGATTTCGACCCCATTTATCTGTTAAAGTAGCACAATATATATAATTTTTTATGACATGTTTGAATTAACTATGTGAAAATTAGCCTAATATATGCAAATTTTCGTAAAAAATACATCGTCAGATCGAAACTGTATCGTATGTCCTTAAAGTCAAATTATGTAACTTCTACATGTTTTATGAATGTGTTTTTGTGTGATTTTTTTTTTGTAAATAAGTGATACAACGATATAGATATTTACTGCTAGAGATATCCATAATATTTTTGAAATATCTTGTTGAAAAGATATTGCAATAAAGTGAAAAAGTGTTACGTTTAATGTTACTTTGATGTTTTCTCATAAAATGATAAAAAATTGGAAACATTTTGAAGTTGAACTTTTGACGGTCCGTCGTCTGTCAGCCGGCCAGAGCTACAACTCAATAATGAAGTAAAATTCACCTAAATATTTGCGAAATGATAACTACATTAAAACTGAGACTACTATAACACATATAGTAGTCTCAGATTAAAACAATTACATATAAGATACTGCAAGGGTAACAACGTTATTTATAAATGATGCATACTTAACCAAAGTATCGGATGTATAACATGTATAATGCATTTGTATTTGGTTATGGAACATGGTTCAATTTGAGTTATCTCCCGTTTTATAAAAAAAATATCAACTGAAAAATAACTGGATATCACTCATTACAAATGCATCTTATGTTTGTCTGATAAGGGAGGCGAAGGATACAACGGGGATATTCAATCTCGTAATCCGAAAACAAACTGACTATGCCATGGTAGCAAACAAAAAAGCGACCAAAGACAAATAATAGGAAGCAAAACAACGTATAGAAAACTAAAGACTGAGCAACACAAATCCCACTAAAACCAGTGTGATCTCAGGTGCTCCGGAAAGATAAACAGATCCTACCCCAAATGCGACACCCGTCGTGTTACTCCTATAAAATACGTTGATAAGTTATTTCAAGTGGTTTGGCATCACACACTGGCGGATTGTTATTTGGCTCGTATCAAACCCTAAGATATCACTAAATTGATAAACCATCTGTCATTTAAATTTTCTAACCCTGAAACTTGACCGAATATAAAAATTTGAAACAGAAACACGTTTTTCATTGCAGGAATACACAAGACTCTTACCGATGAAATCAACACATACAAGGGAAAATTAAAAAGCACAAATAATTACACTTAAAACAAAAACAAGAGCAACAAGAACCCCTTTTAAACAAAACAAGGTGTGATCTCAGGTGATCTGGAAGGGCATCAGATCCTGTCCCACATGTGGCACCCGTCATGTTGCTCGTGTAAGTACACATTTGGTGATAAGTCTCATTCGGTCGGTCACATTCTGGGAAAAGGAAATCGGGATTGTGGTTACGACAATTGGAACATACCCGTCGTCATCTGTGAAACAGATATTCCATAACGGTCAACCAACTCGCTATAAGGCGTCCGTAAAATTTTCAAAAGGATAATTTCATCTTCACCACTCGGAACTCCTTGTTTAATAGTTTCCTTGTGAGCAGCAACCCCCATAAAGGAAATCATGATAGGAAACGCAAGCCTTGGAATATCTTATCAATTGGAAGATAAATACTCCATATGCAGGCGCTGCTGGAATGTTGCTTCATAGAAATGGAAATTGTACAACTTGGAAGCTGAAATAATCTCTTTTGTCGAAAACTTTTCTCAACCGTCCCTCATTGCCAAATTCTAGATGTAAGTCAAGATAACTGTATCTGATGTATCCTTTATTTCATATTTGATAGGATAGATGCGTTCAACATAGTCACCAATATTGGAATTAGTTAGTGACAGGACATCATTTTTATAGCAATATGAAGATCACAGTTGCCAATTGTTTGTTGAAAAACACGTCCTCCAAACGCAACACATATGATGTCAATCAAGAAATTAAGCAATGTTACAGAAGTTTCAGCGATCATTTTTTGTTTGAATCAGAGTGATTTTTACAAAGGACGATTTATTCCTCTCTAAAACAAGTGACTTGTTTTTAAGTTGGCCATTTTTTTTTATTATGAAACAAGCAATGTACGATACGTAATAAAATATAAGTTATACCGCTTGTTCGGAAGTCAGTAATTAGTGTGTATGAGGTATGATAGTTTTACTTGCAAAGAAAACGAAATCTTGTTTAAAAAATAGTTGATTTTGCATTTACCCAGTTTACATATTCATGTGGCTGTCGCATGTCAGGAACCTTGTCGGTGATTGTCGGTTCTCATATTTTAAATTTGGACAATAAAGAAATGATTGCATATCGTTCATAAATAATCTCAGTTAAATTTTTCAAAAGATTTTTATACTCTAGGAGTTTTTAGGCTTGACATATTGTATAAACATCTGTATATATTGATGAGGATCGTATGTTGGTAGCTTTCTGGAATCCGATGTTGTTTTGTTTGGAGGGGGAGGGGCGTGATGGTGTTGCTTTCACGTTGATGTTTACCTCACATCTCCCTTTATTAATAAATATTATCATTGTATGGAAACTGTCTTTTTTCTCCGAATTCATTACAATATTTCGCCATGAAAAAAAAAGCATATTCAAAACTGTAGGTCTGTAGGTGTAATACCACCAAATCATAGTACGTCACATCCGGTTGCATACGAAAATAGGTCGAAAAAAAATATTCCCTTGAATTTGACAGTTGTAGGTAATTGATCCTACATTTCATTGCAGTAAAACATTTCTGAGTCATAAACATATATCTTGGGTATTTCAAAGCACCATTATTTCTTTATTTGGGTTTTCTATAGAATATTTTGGAAACTTGAGGTTACATGGTTACTAAAGCTTGTACACAGGTTAAAAAAGGGGGAAAATTTGATTGGTTAACTTCCAGTGATGGTTATTTTCTTATATGCAATGAAATGTTATGTGAAATTTTTTCTATAGTACTGGACAGGATAAAACTTTACTCATGCCAAGTATTTCTTTATTTGAAACAAAGATAAATTCTGCACAATTTTTTGAAAAGTGCAAATTTAACAAAGACTAATAGGGGAAAATCAATGGTGGTATTACACCTAATATGGGAAGCTGTACATGCACCTTTGACCTTGTGAGTACTCTCATGTGTTAAAATTTCTTGCTATTTAAGTGAAATATTACAAATAATGAAATATTCTGAGTGGATTGAGTCTCCAAAATACATTTTATGAGAAAATTTCCTTGAAATAGGACTTTACCATGAATATTAGTAGACAGAACAAGCCATACTTAGAGTCTTTGGGAGCTTTTTCTCCTTATTTCTTATATTCTGCTATACTAGAAAATTTTTCCTAAGAAATACTTTAATAAATATATAGTTTTAAGTAAATGAAATTATTTTTAAAGCAGTAACAACAAATTATTCACCAAAAGAGAAGTTTTTTATGTCCCTCTCTGGAACGCGGCGTAAATTTAAGTTTTACGCAAGGACTTATTGAAACCTCCTTGGAGACAGTAAACTTTTATACGGATAGTTCAAGCAGCTTGAATACTTCAATTAATCATTTATAATAACATTCCTATCACAAATGAGTGAAAGTTACCCCAAAATTTTTATTTATTGGCCTAAAAAGTAGAAATTTTGAGGAAATGAGAGGTATAAATGGACCAAAAGAGACTTTATAAGGAAGAATAAGAGGTCCATTAGTAGTATTTATCATCCTAAAGTCATCTTTTGTATCATATTCAACTGTTTGTAGGCAGATGAGATAAATATTTGATCATTTATTGGTCCACACTATATTCTATCATGATGCGGCTTGGTTTGAATTTTTCGAAGAAATTTTGCTCGAATCGCTGTAGATGTCGTCTTACATTATACTAGATTTTTCTCAAACTATTGAACTGATTATGACAAAACTTGACAGGAATGCTTGAAATAACCAGTATTACAAAGGAAAAAAGTCACATTCAGTTTATTCAACAAAAAAGTCTTCTTTAGGTGTAATACCACCAAATCATAGTACGTCACATCCGGTTGCATACGAAAATAGGTCGAAAAAAAATATTCCCTTGAATTTGACAGTTGTAGGTAATTGATCCTACATTTCATTGCAGTAAAACATTTCTGAGTCATAAACATATATCTTGGGTATTTCAAAGCACCATTATTTCTTTATTTGGGTTTTCTATAGAATATTTTGGAAACTTGAGGTTACATGGTTACTAAAGCTTGTACACAGGTTAAAAAAGGGGGAAAATTTGATTGGTTAACTTCCAGTGATGGTTATTTTCTTATATGCAATGAAATGTTATGTGAAATTTTTTCTATAGTACTGGACAGGATAAAACTTTACTCATGCCAAGTATTTCTTTATTTGAAACAAAGATAAATTCTGCACAATTTTTTGAAAAGTGCAAATTTAACAAAGACTAATAGGGGAAAATCAATGGTGGTATTACACCTAATATGGGAAGCTGTACATGCACCTTTGACCTTGTGAGTACTCTCATGTGTTAAAATTTCTTGCTATTTAAGTGAAATATTACAAATAATGAAATATTCTGAGTGGATTGAGTCTCCAAAATACATTTTATGAGAAAATTTCCTTGAAATAGGACTTTACCATGAATATTAGTAGACAGAACAAGCCATACTTAGAGTCTTTGGGAGCTTTTTCTCCTTATTTCTTATATTCTGCTATACTAGAAAATTTTTCCTAAGAAATACTTTAATAAATATATAGTTTTAAGTAAATGAAATTATTTTTAAAGCAGTAACAACAAATTATTCACCAAAAGAGAAGTTTTTTATGTCCCTCTCTGGAACGCGGCGTAAATTTAAGTTTTACGCAAGGACTTATTGAAACCTCCTTGGAGACAGTAAACTTTTATACGGATAGTTCAAGCAGCTTGAATACTTCAATTAATCATTTATAATAACATTCCTATCACAAATGAGTGAAAGTTACCCCAAAATTTTTATTTATTGGCCTAAAAAGTAGAAATTTTGAGGAAATGAGAGGTATAAATGGACCAAAAGAGACTTTATAAGGAAGAATAAGAGGTCCATTAGTAGTATTTATCATCCTAAAGTCATCTTTTGTATCATATTCAACTGTTTGTAGGCAGATGAGATAAATATTTGATCATTTATTGGTCCACACTATATTCTATCATGATGCGGCTTGGTTTGAATTTTTCGAAGAAATTTTGCTCGAATCGCTGTAGATGTCGTCTTACATTATACTAGATTTTTCTCAAACTATTGAACTGATTATGACAAAACTTGACAGGAATGCTTGAAATAACCAGTATTACAAAGGAAAAAAGTCACATTCAGTTTATTCAACAAAAAAGTCTTCTTTAGGTGTAATACCACCAAATCATAGTACGTCACATCCGGTTGCATACGAAAATAGGTCGAAAAAAAATATTCCCTTGAATTTGACAGTTGTAGGTAATTGATCCTACATTTCATTGCAGTAAAACATTTCTGAGTCATAAACATATATCTTGGGTATTTCAAAGCACCATTATTTCTTTATTTGGGTTTTCTATAGAATATTTTGGAAACTTGAGGTTACATGGTTACTAAAGCTTGTACACAGGTTAAAAAAGGGGGAAAATTTGATTGGTTAACTTCCAGTGATGGTTATTTTCTTATATGCAATGAAATGTTATGTGAAATTTTTTCTATAGTACTGGACAGGATAAAACTTTACTCATGCCAAGTATTTCTTTATTTGAAACAAAGATAAATTCTGCACAATTTTTTGAAAAGTGCAAATTTAACAAAGACTAATAGGGGAAAATCAATGGTGGTATTACACCTAATATGGGAAGCTGTACATGCACCTTTGACCTTGTGAGTACTCTCATGTGTTAAAATTTCTTGCTATTTAAGTGAAATATTACAAATAATGAAATATTCTGAGTGGATTGAGTCTCCAAAATACATTTTATGAGAAAATTTCCTTGAAATAGGACTTTACCATGAATATTAGTAGACAGAACAAGCCATACTTAGAGTCTTTGGGAGCTTTTTCTCCTTATTTCTTATATTCTGCTATACTAGAAAATTTTTCCTAAGAAATACTTTAATAAATATATAGTTTTAAGTAAATGAAATTATTTTTAAAGCAGTAACAACAAATTATTCACCAAAAGAGAAGTTTTTTATGTCCCTCTCTGGAACGCGGCGTAAATTTAAGTTTTACGCAAGGACTTATTGAAACCTCCTTGGAGACAGTAAACTTTTATACGGATAGTTCAAGCAGCTTGAATACTTCAATTAATCATTTATAATAACATTCCTATCACAAATGAGTGAAAGTTACCCCAAAATTTTTATTTATTGGCCTAAAAAGTAGAAATTTTGAGGAAATGAGAGGTATAAATGGACCAAAAGAGACTTTATAAGGAAGAATAAGAGGTCCATTAGTAGTATTTATCATCCTAAAGTCATCTTTTGTATCATATTCAACTGTTTGTAGGCAGATGAGATAAATATTTGATCATTTATTGGTCCACACTATATTCTATCATGATGCGGCTTGGTTTGAATTTTTCGAAGAAATTTTGCTCGAATCGCTGTAGATGTCGTCTTACATTATACTAGATTTTTCTCAAACTATTGAACTGATTATGACAAAACTTGACAGGAATGCTTGAAATAACCAGTATTACAAAGGAAAAAAGTCACATTCAGTTTATTCAACAAAAAAGTCTTCTTTAGGTGTAATACCACCAAATCATAGTACGTCACATCCGGTTGCATACGAAAATAGGTCGAAAAAAAATATTCCCTTGAATTTGACAGTTGTAGGTAATTGATCCTACATTTCATTGCAGTAAAACATTTCTGAGTCATAAACATATATCTTGGGTATTTCAAAGCACCATTATTTCTTTATTTGGGTTTTCTATAGAATATTTTGGAAACTTGAGGTTACATGGTTACTAAAGCTTGTACACAGGTTAAAAAAGGGGGAAAATTTGATTGGTTAACTTCCAGTGATGGTTATTTTCTTATATGCAATGAAATGTTATGTGAAATTTTTTCTATAGTACTGGACAGGATAAAACTTTACTCATGCCAAGTATTTCTTTATTTGAAACAAAGATAAATTCTGCACAATTTTTTGAAAAGTGCAAATTTAACAAAGACTAATAGGGGAAAATCAATGGTGGTATTACACCTAATATGGGAAGCTGTACATGCACCTTTGACCTTGTGAGTACTCTCATGTGTTAAAATTTCTTGCTATTTAAGTGAAATATTACAAATAATGAAATATTCTGAGTGGATTGAGTCTCCAAAATACATTTTATGAGAAAATTTCCTTGAAATAGGACTTTACCATGAATATTAGTAGACAGAACAAGCCATACTTAGAGTCTTTGGGAGCTTTTTCTCCTTATTTCTTATATTCTGCTATACTAGAAAATTTTTCCTAAGAAATACTTTAATAAATATATAGTTTTAAGTAAATGAAATTATTTTTAAAGCAGTAACAACAAATTATTCACCAAAAGAGAAGTTTTTTATGTCCCTCTCTGGAACGCGGCGTAAATTTAAGTTTTACGCAAGGACTTATTGAAACCTCCTTGGAGACAGTAAACTTT